TACCTGGTCATCGTTCAGGTAGTTGGGTAAGCCCCCGATGAACAGCTTGTGGGCAGAGTCCGGGACCACGGTGGACACCACTCCTGGGGGGAGAAGGAAGGGACAGACTTGGATGCCCACCAAGAGGTTGCCACCGAACCCTGGGGGAGTGTGCAGGGAGAGGCCCGCCTTCCTCCCGGCCCGGTGACAGCTGACAATAGAAAACGCCTTGTCCCCCAAGCCTGCCCAGCCTCCCAGGTACCGGGGTGACAGCCACCAGCATGATGCAGAGCACCAGTCCCGCCCGGGGGCCATGAAGACCTGAGCTCATACCCCACCTGCTGCCCGCAGCTATGGACCCTCACCCTACTGACAGGGGCCTCCAAGACCCACAAGCCCTTCTTCACCCTCCAACCTTACCGCCGCCTCCCGGGAGACAGACAGGCTCTCGGCCCGCCCCCAGCGCTGCTGCACTCCATGCAGCCACCCAGCCCCAGACGCTCTCTGGCCCCGGGGCAAGTGTGACACTGGAGGGGTCTGCTGTGTCCCTGAGGTGCCCGGCTCACTCAGCACCGAGCCCCTGGCGCCCAGTGGGGGCTGACACAGCAGGGTCACGTTGGCTGAGTGGGTTTAGTGATGACTGTGCCCTGAACTCTGGGCTCAGCAACACGTGCCGGCAGCCCCCGCACTGTCTGGACAGACCACTGGCCTCTGCAGCCCCCCACCAAGCAGCCGCCCCGCACCTCCTGACCCTGGGCAGGTGAGCTGGGCTGGGGCACACACCCGAGACCAAGCCACCGCACCCCTGGGAAGCTGCGCTCCTCCCACCACCTGCCCAGCCTCCTGCCGAAGTGCTGGCACCAACCCAGCCACTCCCAGCACCATAGACCAGCCTGTCCAAGGGGAGGAGCAGAGCACCCTGGGAGCTGGGACCTCAGACGGAGCAGTCCCCACAGGGCGGGCACCTGGGTCCCATTCAGTCTACAGCTCAATGCTCGCCACAGCCTACCAGTGCGACAGGGGTAAACTGAGGCACCAGAGAGAGTGCTGGCCTGAGTTCACACAGGCAGGAAGGGGCCTCCAGGAGCCACTCACCCGACTCCACAGCGAACTAAGGGCTTTCCCGACAGCGGAGGACGTGGACAGAGGTTACATCACGGGCCGGTGAGGCCGAGCCGGGTGTACCCCAGACGTCCGGCCCAGGCCGGTACCTGCAGTGCCACGTACCTCAGGGAAGTGAGGGCGCTGCGGGCACCCCAGACAGGCCCCTGGGTTCAGGTGGGGACTGCAGAGCTAAGTGAGGCTCCGAGCCTCAGAGGGAGAAGGTGGCACCTAGCACAGAGGGTGCATGGAGGGGACGATCCGCACAAACTGTGTCCTTCACACAGGGCCTGAGGGGCCCGGCCCCGGAGGCCCTTCGTGGCCACTGGGCTCTGACGCAGGGAGAGTGACCTCTCACGGTCCCATGGCCAGGAAAGGGCAATGCCGACTGGGAACCTGGGCTGGTCTCAGCGCCAAAACCAAGCCCCCGACATCTGCCACAACCTCTGACATAAGGCACAGCCTCCAAGCGCGCCTGCGGCTGCCCCTCCACCTGCTCCCTGCCACCTCCCCGAAGGCCGCACGGACCCGACAACCAAGCAGTCTTGTCCGTGCCAGTGTCCTCTGCCTTCTGCCTCGGCCGGACCACGGCTGCCTGGTGACCGCGGGTCTGGCACAGAAAACCTTGCCCAGGAAGGGCGGGGCGGAGCCCACAGGCAGGCGCCCCCTGAGGCAGAGTGGGACTCGGCCCTGACCTGCAGGGGGAGCCTGGCAGTGGGCGGGAGTTCACAGCCAAGGGAATTCACCCACCAAAGGTCACGTGCTCCCGGCCCGCACACACTCGGGCTCTCCCTGCCCCTGTCCACGTCTTATCTAACAGGCTCAGCACAGGACACCGGCACTGGGTGGGGCCGGCTTCAGGGGGAACACGTTTAAGGGTCACCGCCCCCATGACGCACGTCTGGCTGCAGGTCCGTGCCCATCTGCAGAGATGAGGAAGCTGCCTCCCAGGGTCCTGACTTTCCCAT